ATCTTCGTAGTAAAACTATTAAATATTTGTTTGCATACATCCAATAATTTCATGTGAATGCGTGGGTAGAGGAATGAAAATTAGAACTGGAATGGCGAATTCAAATGCTGGTCGATTCTATTTCATTCTTTCGTCGTACAAACGATCGTGTTGTCAGTATATCTTACTTCGACTTCGAGAATATTCGCTGAAAGGTTTACGAAATATTGTGTTGCTTTCGATAGCAGATTTACCTACCTTTACGTAAAGTTTGATACCGTAACGTTTTTTTTTTTAAGCCTAGATAAACATTGCAGAGCCGTTCCAACAAATCAAGGTTGACTTTTTTTTATCACTATTTTTCCCTAATTGTCAGATAAATTCAGGGGTTAATAATGGTGATTTTCTAAGCTTACCTTAGATGTGGCATATGTTCGAAAGTCTGGGGCACCCAGTGCGGATCGGACTCACTGCTCAGTCGTGATTGATGTAGCGAATGAAGTTTACTTACCATTACACCACGTGACTTTGGTTACTAATAAAAAGAAAGTCGGTTCAATATTTAGTAGCGCCGAGTTTTCAAATCTAACCCAATTCTCTACTTGTAGATCAATTGGGTAATTCTTCTTGCTGCTAATAAACCATTTCATAAACGATTAAATTTTTATTAAATAGGTGGGAGCACTTTTATTATCTAAGTAAGTACAAAGCAAACCCCCCACTTTCTGCCATGGCAGATTTTTATATCTTTCTAATTGTAGAAAATATACGTGTAGACAGGGTTACTAGAGTAGGTTTTGAAACCTAGTCTTAGCAAATATTGAGTTTGCAGACTTGCAAGGATGTTTTCCCCAATCATTAAAATCTTCACCTATTTCATTCTAGGGTTAACCGTTATCTTTGCTTCATAAGACTATGACCTTCACTTCTTACCCTTTCTTACGTTCATGCAGCACCGAGCAGTAACTCTCGAAATTGAGTGGCTCTTGGGCCTTTTATTGGGGGAACATTAGGATGAACAAATATGGGGCTATATTCAAAATAAAATTGGCTGGCCTGGGCTGCTAATCAAAAGAGAGTTAATTCAAAATTTCGTAACTCTGGGGTTTTAAATCGTCACCCATTTCGTAACTTCAAGAGCAATCGGGCAAACCTGATTATATGACCTTTTAAGGCTTCCTTTGAAAGCATAGTCTGAGGAAATATTCAAATTCTGTAGATGCGACTTAGTACTTCGACTGAGTAGCGTTAGTCTTTGAAATGTAATTTAATTCGTTTCTTATAGAGCAACCTGACAGGCCTACTTGCAGATCATTATTTGATTAGCAAACAAGTATATATATATATATATATATATATATATATATATATATATATATATATATATATATATATATATGAAATGGATTAAATCCGACAAATATTTTAATATATTTTCTGTTTATACGTCATTTTTATGGATACAACTTATTTGAGGAAAAGTTCCATTTTAATTAAACACTATTAATTACATTTATTGGCCTGAATGTTCGAGAAATTTCGTAGAAAATATGCGTTCTCCAACAGGAATCGAATTTGTATCCCAGAAACTAAGCTTGCTGATCATTACACCACGTCGAAGTGCCCTCAGTGAAATAAGCAAAAAATAGAAAGGAAATGAAGACAAACAAAAAGCGCTGTATATCGGTAAACGTCTGCTTTGGTGAAATAGAAATTAGAAAGAAATAAAATGAAGTAAGCAGAGAGAAAAAAGACGGACAGTAAAGCAGGAAACATTAAACTGGACATATTTTCGTATTTTATAATTTTATATATCTAATGTAGCTTCGTCCATATTATTTAAGTTTCATTGATAAGTATCCTCCATTAATGATACATACTTTAGATGGCAGATATGATCCAAAGCGATAATTGGTAACAATAGGATATAAAAGAATAACAACAATTTTTTTTTATATGTTCTTAAAATTGTTGAGCTAAAATATTAAACACTACTATAGCGTAATTTCTAAATGTATTTTATAGCCTTGACAATCACAGGGAACATATTCAGTCACTAGATTCTAATTAAATTGATTCGTCCGCTCTGAAAAAATAGGGTAAACATTTATTGGGAAGAATTTTGTACAGGGTGGTCGGAAAGTCTTGTCACGCCTACATGATATAATTTTCTATTTTAGATGGCTGACACGAGCTCCTACAGTTTGGAAGAGGCGTAAGGGGTGACAAAACCTTCGGACCACCTTTTAGTTTAACTTTCATTAAAGTGTTACATATACAAGAATCAATTATTTTATCATTTTAAATGTGAAAGTTCCAATTGATAATACAGGGTGTGACAGAATTACATCCTACATATATCTTCGAGAAATACCTCTTATATTATGGTAAAACAATGATGTTTTTACCAAGCTAAAGTCTTGCCATTATGCGGGAAGTATTTCTGGAGATATATGTGGAAGGTATTTCTTCTGCAACCCGTATATAGTTTCAAATCGATCCCTGACATTTAAAGAGTTATCTGTAATTTGTTTTTCAATTACAAATGTGCTTACGTCATTAATAAGTATGTACTATTATGAAATGTGAAAATGGACGACATGTGATGGCTTGACAAAGGTCTAAAGACCGTCAAAAATAATTATCCCCCACCACAAAAAAAATACTCTATTTTTTTTACTAGAGAACCAGTCAATTTAAATAGTACCCAATCATTAAATTTAGAATTAACTCATCAGGACATTTAAAAGAGTAAAATAGTGAAATTTTCATGGGCAACGCTAGTTGCTATCATTTCCTTGATTTACCTATCAGGATTTTATGAATATTTGACAAACTTGAACGTTTGTGGCCAAAAAATCAATAAATACATAAAAACGGAATATCAGAAGGAAATCATTCCATTTCACCGCTATTCTTTCAACTACCTTCACTCCCCGGCAATGTTTTTTTTTTTTTTAAGCGAGGATTAGAATCGTTTATTACGATGATGATGAACATGAATTTAAACGTTTTTTTTTATTCTTTATACAGTAAGAATATTAAACACTATTTATTCATTATATTGTATATTTATTTGTCAGAATAATTTTATTTTTACAAAAGTCTAAAAACTAATAGTATTGAAACTAATGCAATGCAGCACTTAATATTTACCAGTTTATAAAGGAATAAATGTGAAAACAGTTTTTTCTTCAAAAATTTATGAACATTTACAAGATTATTAAAATATATGAACCAACTATAAGGAACTCGTTATTATTTTCCATTTTATAGAGTTCGAATCGGTTGCCAATTAGACGCTGTTTTGCCAATGATTTCAATAAGCAACTTAATAAATAAATTGTGTAAATATACAATCTAATAAATAAATAGTGTTTAATATTTTTATTTTAAGTTATCAAGAACAAAGAAAATGTATAAATTCTCTTTCACAGGTATAGGTTTTATTTAAATTATTCGGACTATTGCCCTCATCTTTGTCGCGATATTTATTACAACGTTTCGCTCACTGGGGTAGACTGTTCTAGTTCCACGTGCCATGTTTAATGCGTGTCAGTTATCAGTTATCTCCTATTAATTTATCTCTGAAAGTTCGCCAATGCCTTAAGCGGGTATTGAATTCACACTCTTTGAGCCATGTAACTGGATCTAACCAACGCCTTTGTCCACTGTGCCATGTGTCCTTGAGGACATCTGTGTATGAATTTCTGGATATTATGAACCTAATGTCTTCAGCAACCATTTTTACCAGTGCTCATATTGCAATTTTTTGCTGTTATCATTGCATGTTTTACCAGAGCTCATATTGCAACTTTTGTTGTCATTATCGCTCTTCTCTGGCACTCCTTATTACTGGTTCCCATACTGTATTCATTTCGAGGAGAAATGGAAAAATTAGGAGTGGCTGACCACATATGTAGAGAGAAGGGAGATCACCGCCCTCTGTGGGATCCATAGACAAGGCACATCATTGGAAAATTCGTAAACTTAAGGAATCAACACATATGCTAGGCCACAAAAATCTCCTGAGCCGACTAAGCATAGAAGTCAACCGGTGACTGCACCAGTGGACCGCTGGGTTTGCCATCGATGCACACCTAGCGACTTGCCTGTATGGGTGTTTGTGTGTAGGGGGAAATGTTCAGTCAATGTTCAGTGAAAATATATCCCTATACCCAGAAACAAGGCCCCGGGTTTGCTGTCACTAAAGCTTGCTGGGAGGAAAAGTAAGAGGATGAAGGCAGGAAGTGTCCTGTTTTTATTGGGGTTTTACAGCGACTTCTTGCCGAAACGGGCGGGGCTATTTGACTGTAACCCAGGGCCAGCCCTCTCTGTGGTCCTTTTACACCTGGGTTTTTTTATGTATTCTTGCAACAGACGTTTAGGATCAAATACAGTTTGCTCGTTTTATGACGATAAACTAAATTCGGCCCAAATAAAAATTATATTATGTATTTTTGCAACAAACGTTTAGGATAAAATACAAAACAGTTTGCTCGTCTTGGGAAAAAAAGAGAGACAGAAATGGAAAATAAAAGAGAGTCCTAAAAGAGAAAAGAAAGGTAAGACGAAATAAACTAGAAGAGAGAAAGAAGGTAAAGAGAGAAAAAAGGGAAATAAAATAGAGCCTCTGAAAAAGAGAGAAAAAGGAGAAAGAAATTTTAGAGACAGCGTAAATAAGAGAGACAGGAAATAAAAAACAGAAAGAAATGGGAAATAAAAGAGAGAAAGAAATGGAAAATGAAAGAGAGAAAGAAATGGTGTTAGACAGAAATGGGAGGTCCAAGAAATGAAAAAGGGTGGAGCAAATGGGAAATAAAAGAGATACCAACTATGTAGAGAAGTTAATACCAAACTAGAAAATAAAAGAGAGAAAGAAATGGAAAAAATAGAGTTGGAAATAAATCAGAAAACTGGGAAATAAAATAAACAAAATTGAAAAATTACCTACAATGGAACTTTTGAAGGAGAAAAATTATTAGAAGCAATATGGGAATAAAAAAAATTACCAGCAATACAATGAAGTTATGGATAATAAAAGAGAGACAGAAATGAGAAATAAAATAGAGAAAAAAATAAAAAAGAAAAAATGGGAAATAAAAGAGAAACAGAAATGGAAAATAAAAGAGAGACAGAAATGGGAAATAAAAAGAAAGAAAAAAAAAGAGAGAAACTGAAAATAAAATAGAAAAAAAAGAGAGAAAAATGAAAAAATGGGAAAAAAAGAGAGAAAGAAAAAAGAGAGAAAGAAATGGGAAATAAAAGAGAGACAGAAATGGGAAGTAAAAGAGAGAAAGAAGTAAAAAATGGAAAAATAAAGAAAGTGAGAGAAAAATGAAAATAAAAGAGGAAAAATGGAAAAAGAGAGAAAAATGGAAAATAAATGAGGAAGAAATGAAAATGAAACCATCTATAGAGAAAATGGAAAATAAAGAAAAAATATTCAAGAAAAAAATATTCGCAGAAATAGATTTTTGAAGAAAAACATATTACCAGCAATAATAATAAATTTGTCGGCATTAAATAACCCATTGAGGTTGATATCCCGTAAAACAAAAACCAAACCAAAAAACAAATCAAATACAGTTTGCACAATTCTCAATACGTGACTGTTACTACTCTGTCGTGTATATGTTTAGATTGTCTATAGGCCAGCATCCTGCATATTTTTAGTGAGTGGGGGATTTTTGTTCAGAGTCAATTTTATGATATTTTTTTTATTCTTATTTTCATTATAATATCTGTTCACAACAACGTCATTGTTGTTATTCTCAAGAGATACGACCTTGAAAATATGATAATCAGTATTGAGTGTAATGAAAAATAAATAGGATGACCGATGGTCAGTGGCGCGGACATTGACATCATGAAGAGGATAGTGATGAGGCCAGTCAGTCCACAAATGATTCGCTTTCTGAAGTATGAGAAAATTGCGTGAGCTAAAAGCGCTTGCCGTTGCATCCGCCTCCACCAAAAGCAAAGGCTGCTAATTGCATTGAGCGATAAGAAATTTTCAAATTTCTCGATTGGATCGTTTCCTCGAAGTGCCATTCGTAATTTAATGCCCAGCTTGGTGGTCAAACGGTGGCCGGAAACTGTAGCTTCTGGCTTCTAGTTACCACAAGAGTGTAAATATCGAAAATAGAAGCGTGTTTTTTTAATAACTAGTCAGGATACTAAGTTTTATAATTTGAATTTTATTAATTATTCATTGGCATTTCTTTCATTTCAGTGTCAATCTATTTACCGAAGTAATATTATTAATGTATTGTAATAAATTAATAATTACGAATGCATAATAATATAATCAAAATTCTAATATAATTAACAAAGAAAAATATGAGAATAAATGGATAATTATAATAATCAAAACCTCCCTTTTAAAATACGACATCACTTTCTTTGATCAATGAAAAAACAACGCCCAATCATACTGATATCAGCGTCTGAGAAATAATTAGTGAAAAAAATTTCAGAGCTCGGACGGAAACGTTAGGAATATAGAGATGAAGTAGACATTAGAAGGAACCTGAAACTTAATCCTAAACAGGAAGCAAAGACTAAACCACTAATCATGTTTAAAAGCCGGAACGGACGGCGAACCTATCATAATAATGGACTCTCCCTGTCGATTGCGACGTATGATGATCTGACAGCTTAATTGATTCAGTTTCGAAATTTTGTGCGATAATCTTAAGTGGCACTTAAGACCCGCTAGTGATTTACAAAGGCCATATATGGAGCAAGAGTGAGGATTGTGAATTGAGATCATTGTTAGATTAGCTGACCTTTTAGATCTCGCTCTCGCTTCATGAAGATGATTCAGACAAGCAAATAAAACCTATATACATATATAGCTATGAGTAAATAGTAGGACAGACTGGGTTCTAAAGCTTTGGATGACAACTGGTCTAGGAGAAGGACAACTCTTGCGAAGAGTTGTTTGGGGACCTTCTGCCACGTGGTACATCAGGGCTCTGTATTCGGCCCTTCAAAACGTGTGCTTGGTTCTGCACAATGCCTTCATCAATATAATCAAATCATATGTGCAGATGTGTGGTTGTCGGTTTATATATATATATATATATATATATATATATTTAAAAAAAAAGATAAACCGCAAACGCTTTTTGTTCAAATGTGGATTGTTTATTTTAAAATATATATTATACTCTATTTTCCATAATTCTGCTACATGTGTTTCTGGTTTCGCGACCTTCTTCAAGCAAATAGTATATATTTCCATATATTATACTATATTATAGTATAGTATATATATAAATTCTTATCGCCAGTCCAAGAAAGACATCTGAATCACTACCACGCATAACATTCATTTTTTATGTTTAAAATCAAAATCCACAGTACAACCAAAAATATTTGCGGATTATCTTCTTTTTAAAATATACACTTTTTCTCTCGTTGGAATAACTGCAACCTCTTCCACCTCCCTCTCTCTCTCTCTCTCTCTCTCTCTCTCTCTATATATATATATATATATATATATATATAGAGAGAGAGAGAGAGAGCGAGAGAGAATTTCTTACAGTTAACAATAACAAATTTCTAAAAAATATATTTCGACTCACATCTAATCTTTCGTGTCCCATTATTATCTAGATGTATTTTAAAAACAAAAACAAATCAATTTCCATGCCTGATGATGTCTGTATGAACAGATGAAAGCACTTGCAAGAAAAGACCTTATACAAGTTGAATTTATTAAAAACAGGGATCATAACATTCATCTAGAGGTTTGTGTGTTAATATAATTTTAATAAATCTATTTGCAAAGATGTATTCTCGCCATTTGTATCATTAAGTTCACTAATCTGTTTTTTGTATGTATGATTCATGTAACATATATATATATATATATATATATATATATATATATATATATATTACAAAAAGAGAAAAAATTGGAAATACCATTTAAAACCACAACCCTGAAGACATACAATTTCGAAAATTAAGTTTTCTTTCATAAAAAGAGAAATATTAGTCATAAATTTAAAGAGTACAATAATTCGTGCTAAGATATAAGTAATTTAACAAATACAATGTAGTAAATATTTTTAATATAATAATTCTTAAAGACATTCATAATGTAAACTTGGGGTAATAACACTTATTAAATAAAAAAAACAATCGATGTATTACTCGACTTACTTAAAAAGTAAAGAAATATGCATTTTACTAAATTTATGATTATGAATGTATAATAATATAATGAAAATTATAATATAATAAACAAAGAAGAATCTAAGAATAAATAGATAATTAAAATAATCAAGAATTTCCTTTTAAAATACGGCATCGAAAGAAAATAAAGAAAAAAACACGCCCATTCAATCCAGCGTTTATTTAGATAAGTCGAGGCATGCTTCGATTAATTTTTAGTAAATTTACTTTATTTAGAAAGTCTATTATCACTAAGAATTATCATTTTAAGTGCATTTAATTAAATGTATTTGTTAAATTACTTACACATTGGCATGAATAATGAAGCGTAACGTTAGAAAGAAAGAAAGAAAGAAAGAAAGAAAGAAAGAAAGAAAGAAAGAAAGAAAGAAAAAAAGAAAGAAAAGTGTTCAGGGAGAAAATTTAAAATCCAAAGACCTAAAGAAAGAATGAATGAATGAAATCATTCAAGAAAATACTGAAGGTGAAAACTGAAAATCCAGAACAAAAATCACAGAAAGAGGAACAAAAGAAAGGCCGTACAGAAAGAAAGAAAAAGAAAAAAGAAAGAAAGAAAAGAAAGAAAAGAAAGAAAGGAAAGAAAGAAAGAAAAGAAAGAAAGAAAAGAAAGAAAAAAAAAGAAAGGCCGTAAAGAAAAGAAAGAAAGAAAAAAAGAAAGAAAGGCCGTACAGAAAGAAAGAAAGAAAGAAAAGAAAGAAAGAAAGAAAAGAAAGAAAGAAAAGAAAGAAAGAAAGAAAGGCCGTACAGAAAGAAAGAAAGAAAGAAAGAAAGAAAGAAAGAAAGAAAGGCCGTACAGAAAGAAAGAAAGAAAGAAAGAAAGAAAGAAAGAAAGAAAGAAAGAAAGAAAGAAAGAAAGAAAGGCCGTACAGAAAGAAAGAAAGGCCGTACAGAAAGAAAGAAAGAAAGAAAGAAAGAAAAAGAAAGAAAGAAAGAAAGAAAGAAAGAAAGTACAGAAAAAGAAAGAAAGAAAGAAAGAAAGGCCGTACAGAAAGAAAGAAAGAAAGAAAGAAAGAAAGAAAGAAAGAAGCAATGAATCAAGCAAACCTTCATGAAGTAATTTGAAAATCCAGGGCGTGCAATAAAATAATGAACATCCGGTCAAAGTTGAACTGCATTTTACGAGCTTCCCAAATTGACTTCCTTCCAGGCAGAAGCCGAGGCCAAAAGATCCTTGTGGGTTTTCGCTTTTACCCTAAATTCTTTTCCCAACCACATTTGCTCTGCCTCGGGCGAACAGTTGAATTTCCGCGTCACTCTTCCGGATTTAATCATAATAATTCAGTTCTTAACTCCTGAAATGCTACTCTCGAATATAATTAAACTTGGAATTCGAATGGCCAGAAAAAACAGTAAATGTTTGTATGATTGACATTCTTTATAGATATCCACATAAGAAAAAAAAAACAGACACACCAGTAGTATAATGTGATTATATATATATATATATATATATATATATATATATATATATATATAATATAATCCATTACATTCACTTACGTGCTAATACCCTTGGGAAAGGTGTGAATCCCCTCCAGCTATAGATAAGTAGCAGTACAGACTGGGTCCTATAGCCTTGGATGGCAACTGGTCTAGGAGAAGGACAACTCTGAATTCACACCCGGAGTGGAGTCCCTAAGGCGGATGGACGGCAACTCCTGCAGCTGCGTTGTTTCCAAACTGTATTGGTTTATCCTCTCCTTTGGACTCTGCTAGCAAGACCAAGAGGAGGAACTAGACGTCTGGGCAGCCCGAGTTCTCCATATGTCCCACCCAGGCTCGTAGCGCACCTCGCTACTCTATCGTCGTCTCGAGACGGACGGATGCCGACGATATATATATATATATATATATATATATATATATATATATATATATATATATATATATATAAGCTATCTAAACATTAAACTAATAAATATCTTTAATTATCTTCCCAGACCGAGACTAAGTATTATTATGCCACTTAAGCAAGTCACCTCCAGTTTTTTTAATAAGTAATACAAATTGAAAATCAAAACAAATAAATTAACAAACCACTCCCGAAAAAATAACCGCTAGACTACATTACCTACAATGCCCCATTGACCTATGTATATAAATAGTAAAGGAGAAATTCAGCATTCGCGTCCTGAAGATTGCGCCTAGCATGAAACAGCCTGTCGCCACTGAGTGTTAACTTCAATATTCACCTTTATATTTATG